TCTAACAAAGGCAACTGAGGAGTAGTTATGGATAAAGCGGATTACTTGAAAAAAGTCGATGAGCATATTGAAACAGGACCATATGAGCAAATCAAAAATCTACAGACACAGTCATGAATAAGATAGAAACACCCATAGCTGATCTAATACGCCGAATGAAGTCATCTCAGGGTGAGTCGCAGTGGTTTAATTTACTGCCTAAAGCTAACAATCCTAGTAGGATGTAAACTGCAATTAAGGTTCATAAAACAGGTTATCCTATGAGGCCAATAGCTAACCTTAGAAACACATGAACATGTGAGTTATCGAAATCCTTAGCTACAATACTGTGCAATATTAGAAATTGCTCAAAATCTGTGGCTTATTCGTTTATGCAGTTAACTTCCAATCAGTGGTTCATGGGACCGGACACCGTCCCACCTACAGAGGTTTGGGCTTCCAGGTGGTGTCAATGGCCTACACACAATAGATGTGACTCACCGTACGACGTACTTGAGTGGATTTCAACTTTCTCCAAATATTTTTATCAATGAAATGCTAGTTTATCCCAAGGTATCATGTGTCTCAGATTGTCAATACAGGTCAAAACCCGATTCATCATTCAGCTTATACAGTTCATCGCTTCTATCAACCTGTAAAACGTTGAAGTCAATAAGCAGTATATATTGTGCAGTGGAAACACATTTTGTTATTATTTGTTTTGTGGCTTCCTAGTGAAACATACGGCTTCAGCAGCACGTCACCATTCCACACTCTTCTACGCAGTATTTTCAACATGGCTACACCACTGTCCACAACCTTTCATTTCTTCCTCACATACCATCTACTCCATGTCACACACTCCTCCGACACCCAACTCGTCCTTTCTCCTTTGGATTCCACTCGAAAGCCTGACCTGGCCTGGTGCATTATGTGCCCAAACGGTCTTCTCAGTGTATGTCCAATCCAATCCATCTCCACTTTCTTCTACATATTTGTTGGGCGATGGGTTCTCGGATGGTTCGTTTCCAAGCCACAGTGAGTTCCTCATTGCCTATTCTTACTATTCTGACCATCTGATCTTCAGTATCGAGTGAGAAAGAGTAGTTGGCAGTTGTTGATGATGTGTGTCTGTAGTTTGTTGGAAATGCTTTTCGTAATGCACCGCCAAGTCTCTCAACCACCACATAGAAGCACTGACTGACTTGACTGACATTAGTGTTGAAAATCCGAATCTGGTTCATGCTTTATGCTGAGTGGAGTGGAGTGCAGTGTGTTGCAGTGCAGTAGATCACCACACTGATTTCAGGTTAATGAAGGCTTATCTTGCTGTCTTTCCGATCCTGACTTTGACGTCCTCATACGTGTCACCGCCACCACCTGTAGTTGAGAGGATGCTGTCTAGGTGGCAGGTAGGTAGGTAGGTGAAAGAGACAACTCCCTTAAGGTTTCTCACGTTCATGCTGATTGGTGCTTGTTGTTGTTGCTCGGGTATCTTCATCACCTCATTCTTCTCTATGCTCACTTGAATGGTGTCCTGTCTTCGCTGCCTCGTCTCTTCTGTCAACTTGTTGGTGTTTGCCTGTAAATCTTCGAGTTTGTGTGGTAGTAGATATAAATCCTCACCGTTGGCGAAATCCAAATGTTTGTGAGTCTCTTCATCGGTCCGGCCAGCGTATACCCCTCTCCTCGCTCCTTTCATTTGAATCTTACTGTCATGGTCCTGTAGGGGAATGACTCCCATTTCATGAGAGAGAGTCTTCTATGCTCTTGGGAGAGGGACATCATGATAGCCACTCGAAAACTCAGTGTGTCCGTGATTGTCGTCTGAGTGACAATATCAGAGTGGATGATTGACTCTTCAGTTGACAGTTTTGAGAGTCCACTTCCACTCCATCTGCTTTCGCAGATTCCAAGCACTTCTATGCTATACCTTCTCATCTCTTTTGCAATGTGGTTAACCTTGCTAGCCAGCCAGCCAGCTTCAAACATTTCGCCGACTTTCCATGTCACCATGTTTACTTTCGCTTTCATCGAGAGAAGAGAAGACACATCGGCCAATTGGTTTCCTGCAGGCTTTCACCAACCAGGGTCATTTTGTGTCTCCAATTCGAGCTAGGAATAAGTTTGTTTTTATTTTTCATATTTCCTCTGTGCTTTGAAGTTTGTTTAGTGATTGGATTGGTTTTTCGGGTATGGTTGCTAGCCCTATACCCATCCTTTGCTCTTTATCTGTGCTTAGGACCGGCTGGTAAACTAGGCGAGGTTGTGGAAACACTTTACCACGAGGTAAGTGCCACTCTATGTAATTCTTGAGCTATGGGATGTGTAAACCATGAAATTTCAAATCTGGTGGGTGGAATCCAATATCTTCACCCCAAGAACCCATAGTCTGTAACTCCTTCCAATATGGAGTCGTGCTGATGAGTCGTCGAGAAGACTGAAACAGATGTCCAGTGTTTGTTAGTTTTCAGTTGTCTTTAGGCTACCTTAAGTATTTTGTGGAAACCACCTTGAAGAGAAAATACAGTAAAGCAACTTTGTCAGGTTACTTAGGGTAATTAACAGTGCATATCTGATGGACACAAGTGGACTAGTATTAAAGCATTTGGCTACATTACGTGGGTTAGAAATCTTCAAATGGTTAGTGTAGAGTAGTTAATATCATCCTAAATAAGTTTAGTAGTAGCTTGAGCGTCTAACTGCATCTTGATATGGATTCAGACTGCTAAAGTAACATTAGTCGGCTCAGGGTTACATATATGTCTTTTCGCACCTTCTCATAAAATGTAATAGGAACTGATCTTGCGCGAACCTGAAAAACGCAGAGATCAATCGATAATTACTCAAACTTGTATCCGCGAATGAGAGGTCAAGAAAGAATAATATAGAGTAGTCAAGTGGAATAGTATATTTGATAGACCGTGTCAAAATACCGACGGGTTCCGACCAGCTTTCTAGAGATTCACGTACTAGCAACACCATGTACCTCGACAACGTGCCAAATGGAGTATACCTTCGGCTTAACAAGTCCCTTAAAACTACAAAGGTCAGCATCAGTGTTGATTATTGTTGAATCCTAGGTCATTGATTTTTGGGGAATCACTTACTGATACGATCTTAAAGAAACAGTGAATACTAGGTATATGCTAAAAAATAGTTTGAAGAACATTTTACAGACTAATGAATGGCAGTATGATCCTAACTTCCACAACCAGGTATATATTATTCATAATCTTCCAGAACATTCAGGTTATTTATTCAGCATTACTAGTGATGATTTTTTGGGTTGAAAAACGCACAATACTAATTAGTTTTACAACCGAACAAGTTATCATCAAATAGTGTTGTTAATTAAGTATTCTCAATACTATTTTGAATATTCTCACATCAAAAGATTCCAAATATTCTTATGATCATCCATAGATTACAAGTGACAGAAAGTATACACTCGTATAACACCAATCATATACAACAAAAACCTCTAGAATACATTCATGAATAAATAAATTTACTGCCATTAATATTATCAGCCTTATGCAGCGTCACGAAAAACATTTCCAACAAACTACAGATACACATCATCAACAGCTGCCGACTACGCTTTCTCACTAGATACTGAAAATCAGATGACTAGAATAATAAGAACAAGCAACAAGGAAATCTGGGAACGAACCAACGAAGAACCCACGAACCAACAAATATATAGAAGAAAGTGGAGATGTATTGGGTGTGCACTGAGAAAACCATTTGGGGACATCAGGCACCAGGTCAGGCCGTCGAGTGGAATCCAAAGGAGAAAGGACGAGTTGGGTGTCGGAGGAGTGTGTGACATGGAGTAGATGGTATGTGAGGAAGAAATGAAAGGTTGTGGACAGTGGTGTAGCCATGTTGAAAATACTGCGTAGAAGAGTGTGGAATGGTGACGTGCTGCTGAAGCCGTATGTTTCACTAGGAACCCAAGGGAAAAAAATATTACCAGCCTTATATACCCTTTTTATTGTCTTACCTGCAAGTCTAATAATTTGAAGTTCACACACAATACCTATGAGGTCTTAAGGAAATAAACTCAAAAATGTTCATAATTCATTTAGCGGTTTACTGGAATTTATTGACTTCAAGACATTTCAATATGAATTCACATTGCGATCAAAGAAACTAGGAAACTTGTAGACTATTAACTTCTGCAGTAAACATACTTCCAAACATGAATTGACGCATATAAATTTAGTTACCGATGATGTTGTGTACCCTCAACTGGATAGTTTAATTGTGAAGTTCTCATTGTCATTCTAGACAATAGACAACAGCTCCAAATTTCACAGTCACCTTTGTATTTTATTCTAATGACCCTGGGTGTGACTATTGGCTTCATGTGATTATGGTATCTAGTTCAGAGGATACAACACCAAAACCATACTGTTACATCAGCCAAAAAGTGAAATTAATAGTTAACATTATTTTATAGCTCGGTTCAAGAGCTTTCGATTGACTGATCACCTATTTCTGTATGACCTGTATTTCAGAAATAATTGCATGTTGAGTGAAACACACTGTCATGCAATTTCCCATATTTTATGCTCGTAACCAGTTATTTCATATTTGTAAATTATGGCACCTTATGTTCAAATAATCTAGTTATGTGCAAATGAATGCGATCGCCTGAATTATAGGCTGAAAATAAGCAGCAAACTGTGTTGTGTTGTGAACGTTTGAGAGGGCCGAATCGAGTGACTCATTGTGTGATTGAGTTGAGTATAAGACCAAGCAGGTATAATCGAGATGACTGACGTTCAAGGTCAGAGTTAATGCTTGATCAGCCGAATCACGTGATTAAATCAATTGCAGCCAGAAAAGGTTTTAGTACATACGCATTAACTACGAATATTTTTCATCTGAGAATACTGAAGTAGCTTTACTTAGTGAATATATCCCAGTTGAATACTCTTACACCACTTCTTCACTTCACTCACCTCTCCCCTAGTCGGTAAAACAGGTACTCGTTGAAGTGTAATAAATAAAGGAACAGTAGCAACAATGAAAACAATGATAATGATAATATTAATAAGTGTAAATCATGTGAGGATAGACACCTTGTTTGAATACACATCACTGTATATTGATTCATATAAGCATGAAGCGATGGTGAGCCTGGCAATGCATACAAAAGAGCTAGAAATCAACAGACATGGACAGTGAAATAATTCATTGTGAAAGTTGTTGAATTTCTTTTGTCAACGCATTGATTTCTTCATTCTGTAACTTTATCAATTGAACAAGTTGTTTTAATTGTTTTGGATCCACAAAACTAGACGTACTATGCATTGTTCCGATCTATAAATATTTAATTTAAAAAATAGTGCTTAAGGAAACAGAATAAGTGAGACACAAATCGTATTTTTTGTAAAAAATAAGGGAACTTAAGAAAGTCTATCCAAACGGTGTTAGGATATTGAATGAATATAGTCTTAGACGATGCTACTAGAGATTGCTGAGAAATTAAGTCAACAAACTGAATTTTTTAAAATTTGCAAGGTCTGGTTCAAGGATCTTAGGACCGAAAAGTGATGTAGTAAGCAAAAGTATCAACTCTCTGTCTGGTGGATTGTACAGTTAAGTTACATAAAGTAGGGGTAGATTTCGGTAGAGTGTACGAGTTGCGCTTAGTGATGGATAGAGGATAGCAGTGGAATTCATGACGCGAGTTTCGTCCATTGTGGGACTCGTCAGCTGGGTGTACATGCCGCCCAATGAGTGATATTGTTCCCACTAAGATTCGAAACACGCATCCTGGATCCTACTGCCAGTCACTATCCATCACAAATACCAAAACTGCGAAAATCCTATCAGTATATAGGCACCCATATGAAAGCAATTCAGTTCGGTCCAATCAACAACGGAGATTCGCAAGCTATAACATAGCATTTTGCAGTTTATAGACACCCTTGCACAGGGATATTTCCCTGAGAGTACTAAGTGATCAGATTCACTGTCGTATGTTCACACATTTGCAAGTAGGCTCGCAACTAACACAATAGAATGATGGCATATTCTTCTCCAGGTGGTCTGTAATGCATTTATTTGTATTCAGTATGTTTAAAAATATCTTCTTTCTGAATTAGTTGATTGCTTCACATACTTAACCATCACAGTGTATGAAAAAGAAAGTGTGAAATATTTGAAGGTGGATGAAACTCATTGAATCGACGACGAGTATAAACAATGAGACATTTAACACTAAAATTTATTCTTCGTGATAGTCTTTCCTCCATCCTAAAAAAGAGCCCAGGGTAAGTTCCCCGGACTGAGTGTCTTGTGGCGTTTTAGAACTTGGAGTTCCTTATGGACCTCCGCTTTGTTAGGTGGGTAAGTGTTAACTAACCATGGAGCAAGATACACTGAAATTGAGGTTGCTGGAGCCTGAGATCAGCGAAACTGCTTTTCGAAGTGCTGTGCCCAACGTTCCAGGCTTCTTTGAAGATTGTTTATCGGCGTACCATATAACTCACAGACCGTCTCACTGACACCTAGCTTCTTGCTGCCCGTGGCTCGGATGAGCTGGAACAGCTTCCAGCTATTGCCAGTTGCAGCTGCTGCTTCCATCTCACTCGTGTATTCTGGCTACCAAGCCTTACAGTCCTTGCGTAGGCGTTGTATAATGTTTCATATAAGAAACTTACGCAAAAGCATTGTACTCGCTATCCACCGAAATTTCCCGACGAGTGTCGAGAGGTTTCAGGGAGCCCTCAGAGACCCAGTGTTTATTAGCGGGACGTTCTTCCAAATCTCAAGAGGACTTGCCATTTTCATGGCATCTTGTAAGTGCAGCTAACGCTCATCTACACTTTCTGGAGGATCGGCAATTAGCCTTGAATGTAGCTCGGATTGGCGTTTGGCTGAAAAATTAGGTGTGACTAGTTTGCTTCTACTAACCTGTTTAAGACGGCGATTTTAATGACCACCGAAACGTAAGATGAGCTTAGCAGACACTGAAGCATGATCTTAGTCCAGACAAGCACTCCATATAAAGCGACAGTCTTGTATGCATACACACCATCGAGCACTTAGTGCTACACCGACACCGGCGAAGTCGGTTGCCGATGCTCCAGGATCCCTGGATAAGCACACATGCAACATACGTTTCGAGCCGACAGATGTAGAGCTAATTCGAAGCACTTCACTGAGATCTTGTATGCTGATCTTTAAGGTGCAGCGTACATCAATAGCAAGAACTTCCAGAGTCCTAGCCAAACTTGCCTATTGTCTGATCTGCATCATGGTGAAAACGTTGAAGGTGGCGAGCTTAAATGGTATGCGTGGTTACACGATATCTGTGCCAGATATCGCACTGAAGAATAGCTTTATGGGAGCAAATGCTCAGCACCTCAAAACGGTACAGGCAGACCAGGAGTCTAAGTAATGGAGAGCAGTTGAGTGAAGTGAAGATAAAGACAAAAGGGAAGATGATATTAATGAAAAAATGTAGTTCATATGTGAAACCGAGAAAAGCAAAATGATATCAATCAATTAAACAATTAGTTATAGTGTTCGCAGTGCAGGTCTGGGTTTTTGCAAGAAAATTGGGTAAGCGCTTCATTTTATATTGTAATTTCATATTATATGTGCGGGGTGAGATACTGCCCCGGCGCTTAAGCAGCTGTTTATCTTAGAAGACTATTCACCAAGCTTTTTACTTGAGGTCTAATCCACTAAGCAGTGGAGCAACATCAGGAGCTTCATTCCCATGGTTGCTGGTGACCAAAATAGGTTCATACACAATTTGTTCCTTTCGGAACCTGAAGCCCAAGTGCACCATAGGTTTGGAATTAGGGTTTTTCAACGCCCCTAGATGAACCATCATTATCCATCAACCCGGTGATATGTACCAGACATTCGCTTTCAGTCTTTCACTTTTTTGGATATACCTCTGCCCTGGAAACACCCCCCATGGTGTTTAGTGCTTCATGTCAACCTTAAATTTGACTTCTTTTAAAGCATGCAGTCAACTATTGATTTCATCGCATGCAATACGCATCGGTCGATTGTATCCTGAATAGCAGAAGACACTTTTACGTACTCAAATACTTGCTTTCATCTCTCAACCGGTAGTTTTAAGGTGTTATTTTGGTATTCATACACATGGGGACTGAATTTATTATCTCAAAGGCTTCTTGTTAAACATCGACATATCAGTGACTCCAACGTTATGTCCTAGTCAAATAACTAATATTTAACACTCTTGCACTGATAAACTGATTTCAGACGGTCAGATGGGCAACACTTCAGTGCGATGGCTCTACTCTATGCCCATGAAACCTGAGGTCTTCTTTCTGAGTGGAAATGCCTGAGAGATTGTTTGCTAAGACAACATTTGTACTAATAATTGTTCTAAGGTAGTGTTTGTTAAGGACTGCATCAGTTGCTGAACTATTGAAAACTTCGGAGCACTGTACAGCGATTTCCTGCTAATACGGGACCTCACAACAGTACACACCCATGACCTCTGCAGGGATCCGACTAATGACCTTCGGGTCTCACAATGAGGAGGTCGTGAATGCGCACTACTGAGGAGTTAAATACTAAGACGGAACGGCCGTCTGGTGTTCCAAAGCTTTCAATTGCTCTCCAAGTGATGTCAGTAGGTGATGAATACTATCCTAAAAATGAAATTACCATAAACCTCTGACTACAATAATAGTTATATTGAAGCTGAGTTATCAAATAATAATTGGTCAGATGGTTCGAATCCTTAGGACAGCAGAAAATATTGGTTATAACCTGGAAAACAGATGGCTTATCGTTAATTTAAATATCTTTAAGACGCTTGTTTCTTTTTTTCTGCCATGAAGAGAAGTAAAGTCTTTTGCGTTACTCTTTTGCTGGGTAACCTTTTTCTTCCTCGCCCTTACTTATTTGATATTCAACAGTTAGATTTCTAGTACCTTGGACTGATATGTCATTGATTTCAATCTCGGTTATCAGTTGAAAATCGGAATAAAAATCACTTGAAAATGAACGAAGTGCAAGCTGAATGATAACCATTGATTTAATCTTTCATGAAACAGATACTTGATAGTCACACAAACTACTAATCACGTGACATAAATAATCTGCTTTAATAGACACCGTGTAACATACTATACCAGTACAAAGGATGTAAAGATAGCAAATGGATAGACAAAGATTTATTTATTTTAGGTTGGAATTCATCATGGAATGACATCAGTTAGGGAAACATTGGAAACCTGAGAGCAATGGACGGCTAAATCGTTCTAGTACCAGACTTCTCAGCAGTTCGCACCCATGACCTTGCACCTTCGGGGATCGGACTCAGGACCTTCAGGTTCCTTGGCCAACGCGCTACCGTTGATCCACTGGGTCGGAATCCAACGGTCCACATTTCCCACTGTCAGTTCAGGACACAGCGTGACCTGCATCCAATGTTGTCATTGAGTAACTGTCCTCATGTTCCACTTGGTTGACTCCACGGGCCACGACTTTTCATTGGAACTTCGGGAATCACCTGTCAAAGCTAGTCACCAATGTGGGCTAGATTAATTCAATCTGGAGGTTTGTTGATTCGTTTTAGGTTGGATTCATTCATTCAACCAAAACAGTTTGATTCAGATGAAAGAAATCAGTCTTTAAGTATGTGATACATATTTATGAAAAAGGAATCTTTGTACTTCAATTCAACTTTGCATACCTTTTTATTCAGTATCAGATGATTTCAAATTATGGCCTGGATATTCTATGATAATGCCCGTTTATGTAAAGCAGCAAGAAATCCAGGCCGCCTTGAGAAAAGCTCTCACCTGACTAACTTATTCTCTAATATGAACCTAGTGAAGTTCATATTGCCACATGATTTCACACTTTCATTCTACTTAATGTTCAATTTACATTTAAACTTCTGCATAACTTTTCTTATTGAAAAACTAACTATGTAGAATAGTGCTATACACGTATGTTCTGCTGTATGTCAACTATTTCATCGATCATGCCTCTTTATAATCATACATAATGACGGAGAACTCTCAGATTTCACAAAGACTCTTCCTCCAAGTGAATGGTTTCTTATTATAGTGAAGGATATTAGGAGTCAGCTTATAGGAACCTTGAATTTAGATCATTTTGCCTTTTTATACCCCATCAACAAGGTGTTTCCGAAAGCATGAAGAGACTGGTGTTCTCCCGATGACATGAACCTTCTGAATTCAGTTCTGAGTTTAAATACATTACCATTGACCTTTTCAGCTTACTACTAACCACTGTGGAATCACTTAGTCGACATGAGTTATTCATCAATAGGTAACCGATTTAGCTGTTTAGACCTTTGTGCTTAGTCCTGATGACATTGAAACTTCGATTTTCCTGAGTATTAAAGACTAGACAGGTACATATGATGATATCCTCTGGTAACCAATTCCTGAACAGTCATGTATGATGTCTAGAAAATGGGATTTGGAAGACACTAGGAAAACTGATTTTATTTACCTCAGTCTATCAGATTATGATACCAGTCAAGTTGTTTTTATAACATCATTTTCTTAAAAATACAATTAAAATCTCTTTGACAGATATTTGTTCAAGCAAACAGACGAAATATACCGGTAAATATTTACAACAATTCAAGTTATTAACATTGAATGCACAAACAAGCTGTTTATTGATAAAATCCTTTTGATATGATTAGCAAAATCTGCTGGTTAGTAACATTTGTGTAGTGTCTAACTACTTATAACATCTAGCAGTATATTACATTCCTCTTAATACTCGTTTTTTAATGTACACGAATTGCAAAAGCTACAAAGGTATGATCAACTTTATCTTCTTAACCTAGTTCTAATTTGCTGGAATCACTGTGTAATGAAAAGAGAGTTAGGCGTCGAGTATCAAGTAAATAATCTAACTGAGTTCACAAAGCTATCAGATTTCTTTGACTTAGATGGTTTGAATATGTGTTAAGCACACCTTCCAATGTGTTATATTAGGAGATATAAGATAGAAGTTTCAAAGCAAGTAAATAAAGCATCTGACTGTTTATAGAGGTCATAAAGGACAGTGCTAATAGTTTAAACTTCGAAAACACCACTGATTTCCCTGATTCTAAGTTTTACTTACCACTGATAGCTACATTGATTTCTCAAACGTTGATTTCTCCGTCGGCGAGTTAATGCAAAATATGACACATTCAATCAATGCAAGATAATTTTAATCCCTAAACTGTCAATTTCTTAATCTTCGTTTATGTCATCTTTTAATGAATATGTCTTTGATGTATAAACTTAAAATCATGTATTATAACTTACTTTACTTCCTTGGGTTTTATTAAGTTCCTTCTGCAACTGTTGATGTTCATTGAAAAGCATTAGTAGTTGTGTCAAGTAAACTGTATTCTGACGTACTTGACCCATGCATACATCTCGAGCATCACGTATTTCTGCCTAGATTCAATTGTAAAAACGTAAATGTGCAATGTTCAGTATTCGATGGGAGTATTATCATGGATATAGATAAAAAAATATATTTAAGTGTAGAAAAACACCTACTTTACTAGACGGTCCTAAGCACAGATTAAGAGCAAAGGTTGGGTATAGGGCTAGCAACCATACCCCGAAAAACCAATCCAATCACTAAACAAACTTCAAAGCACAGAGGAAATATGAAAAATAAAAACAAACTTATTCCTAGCTCGAATTGGAGACAAGAAATGACCCTGGTTGGTGAAAGCCTGCAGGAAGCCAATTGGCCGATGTGTCTTCTCTTCTCTCGATGAAAGCGAAAGTAAACATGGTGACATGGAATGTCCGGTAAGTGTTTGAAGCTGGCTGGCTGGCTGGCTGGCTGGCTGGCTGGCTGGCTGGCTGGCTAGCAAGGTTAACCACATTGCAAAGGAGATGAGAAGGTATAGCATAGAAGTGTTTGGAATCTGCGAAAGCAGATGGAATGGAAGTGGACTCTCAAAACTGTCAACTGGAGAGTCAATCATCCACTCTGATATTGTCACTCAGATGACAACCACGGACACACTGAGTTTTCGAGTGGCTATCATGATATCCCTCTCCCAAGAGCATAGAAGACTCTCTCTCATGAAGTGGGAGTCATTCCCCTACAGGATCATGACAGCAAGATTCAAATCAAAGGAGCGAGGAGACGAGTATACGCTGGTCGGATCGATGAAGAGACTCTCAAACATTTGGATTTCGCCAACGATGAGGATTTATATCGACTACCACACAAACTCGAAGATCTACAGGCAAACACCAACAAGTTGACAGAAGAGACGAGGCAGCGAAGACAGGACAATATTGAAGTGAAGATAGAGAAGAATGAGGTGATGAAGATACCCGAGCAACAACAACAAGCACCAATCAGCATGAACGGGAGAAACCTAAATGAAATTGTCTCTTTCACCTACCTACCTACCTGCCTACCTAGACAGCATCCTCTCAACTACAGGCGGTGGCGGTGGCGGTGACACGGATGAGGACGTCAAAGTCAGGATCGGAAAGACAGCAAGATAAGCCTTCATTAACCTGAAATCGGTGTGGTGATCTACTGCACTGCAACACACTGCACTGCACTGGTTCATCTTCGGCTCCACTATCTCAATCTCCCTCCTCTATCAGCTTCCATTTGTCCGTCGAGATCCATTCCTTGTCCCGTCTCGTCTTCTTTCTTCTTCCTTCCTAACACGGTTGTGCAGGTTTCCTTCCACATCTCTTCCAAACAGTCCCAGTGTTCTCCCACATAGGTTCCTTCAAGGATGTTGCTCAATATCTCCCATTATGTCCTGATGGCTGACCACCTTGAAGATGTCCTTTGCGGTTTTTTCTTTTTAGTTTCTGTTCTGGGTGGGTGATGAACTTCAACTGTGGTCTATCATCATCAGCTTCTTCGGTAGCTTTCAACTTGATTTTGAAAGTAGGTTTCTTCCACTAGATAGTGATTGGTGTGAATTTACATCTGCTCCCCTTTCTGATATGATCTTGTGTCCAGTAGGCTGGCTGCGTCTCCACCTTCTTCACACTGACATCAAGTCGATCTGATGTTCAGTGTAGTGTGGCCACCTGTCGAATGGTGTAATCCATGTCGTTTTGTCAATATCCATGTGTTTGTACACACTACCTCCAATCACCAAATCGTCGAATGCACAGGAGTCTTCAAACAGTTCTCCAATCTCATTCATTTCACCAAGTGCTTCTCAACGCATGACTAGTTCCCCTTCCTGTGTTGTCCACTCCAGGTTTGGCATTCAAACATATCACCGATTAGAATGGGTTTTGATGTCGCCATCTGTGGTGGGGTCTTATTCAGTGCTGATTGCAGTTGTCTGTGGAATTCCTCGATCTTCTCTTGATCAGCAATATTTGTAGGTGCGTAGAGTAGCATTGTATGATTGTGACTTTGCTGCCATTTCAGTTGAATCCATCTTGCTGTCATGATGCTGATCGTGCAGGAGGGGATTGGTTCCCACTGCATGAGTGAGAGTCTTCGATGCTCTTGGGAGAGGGACATCATGATAGCCACTCGAAAACTCAGTGTGTCAATGGTTGTCGTCTGAGTGACAATATCGGAGTGGATTATTGACTCTTCAGTTGACAGTTTGGAGAGTCTGTGATAAAATAAACCTTGAATGACACTCACGAGGTTGGATTTAGATCTAACATTTGCTTTCTTGACGGTGAACAAATAAAGAAGACTAATAAAGCTTCGATGAGGTCAGTGCACAAAAAGCTGACGTATTTACATCTCTAATAATGTAGAAGACAATATGTCACTTCTGAGAAAAAGTTTGATGGAAAATCGATACCTACCTGGTTTCATAGTTAAAAAAAACACCAAGTCCAACCATCTAGGTCGTAAAATATACTTTACGTAATTATTCTGGAACTCCAGGTTAATCCAGCTGCTGATATTTTCAAACGAAGGATTTCCAAATCCCTGAGAAAAACACTGTTTGAAGCAAAAGTAGGAGTTGTCTTCACCAAGCATCCACTATTTTCTAAAAGCTTGAAAGATGCAGATTTTGCCATCTGATCACCTTCATTTGTGTCATCCATTGTACCTAATCTTATAGAGATAAGTGTATGGGTCGTTCAACGTGAGTCCCATTCATCTAAAGGATCCAAGAAGACTATCCTATTTAGTTTCAAAGAAGTGACAGGGTGTGGCATAACTGGGTTGCAATATATAAACGCATTGTCGATAGTGACTATAACAGCTCTACAGTTTTGTCTTTCAAAATTATTTACGGAGAGAAAAGAAGTCTGCCAAAGGGTGTATTTGTTCGCTTCCTGTGTACTACTGAAAAGAGCCAGTTACAGGTAATGAGGACTTGACAGCATGTTACTAAGTTTTTAATGTCACTTAGGGATGTGTGAAGTTTAGGGCAGTAGGATGAGTTCTCAGGTGATAAAACTAGTTTTATGAAGATTGTAAGTTCTAAATATGAAATATTTTGGCGGTTATATACTGTTGCTTCTTGATATGTGCATTTTCATGATTAAGTCGACGTTTTCCCGCTACTTTTACCAACTTTATTTTATGTAATCACTTCTACATAATTACCACATATCTAAAGTAGTTACTGAAGCTGAAATGAAAATCTGAACCTCGACGGTATTTGAACTAGTGACCTACAGAAGTCAAGACTTAGATGTTCATTTCCCCTTCAATCATCACTCATATCAATAAAAGACTTCCAAACCGTGGTTATCTCAGATAGTTAAACTGATAAAACGATTATGCAATGCAGTCGTTTTCACAACTAAGGATTATTTTTATGTGGCAAAACAAGGTATTGTCAGTCATTTGGTATCTGGTTGATACGAAAATGTCATGAAATAGACTTTATTCATGGAAGGAGAACCTTTTTGGTATATGAATAACCAAAGTTACCGAATTCCTATGCTTAAGCGATTTCATGAAAACATCTGAAATACCACCTCCAGAAATGAGTGACGTGTTCCAGTTGACAAGCTTATTTGTGACTAAACGTCATACTACTTACTAATTACAAGTAACATAACGTATTAACAAAACATTATAATGTGCATAATATGTAAATCCAAATGAAACTATAATACAACCTCTATTTTTGACTCTTCTTTATCAAATTCTTCTTGTAGTATCAGCATTTTTGTAGTTAAATCCTCTAGTTTTGGATTTACTATAATACTTTCCATTTTTTCAATATCGTCTATTCTGCCAAATTTATCATTCATTTCTTTGTCACATATAGCAACCAGTTTCTCGAGTTCTTTCTGTCAGGATAATTAATCATCATTCAAGTAATAATAGTAATAATAGTGATGATAATAATAACAATAATAATGATAGGAACTAATTATCATCCTGGTGCTAGAAAATGCAATTAAAACCTGTACTCATACATAAATAGTATGATGAAGATTTATAAGCAGCAGTTGCTCTACGCTTTCTGATTACGGGAGCTGGGAAAATGTAGGTTTGAACACTTCTCAGCAATTCATTTAGGAGAATAAGTTTTCGGAAAGAGTAGATGTATGAAACTTCGAAAATGAACTTTCTGAACTAATTTCAAGGTACTTGATGATAATTGAAGTAAAATGAAAGCCTGAACTGCGGCAGGATTCGAACCAGAGACTTCCGGGTTACCTGTTCAATGTTTTGTCAGTTGGACTACGAGCCCCGGTTGCTAACCAGATTCGTATCTGTCTGACTTCCATGTGAATTCGTGACTCGTTGCTATCTCTTGATTGCACTATCACTAGCTGCCGGTCAGGACTTCTCATCCAAATTCAAATGTGCTTGAATTAAATACTCATTGTTGACTGAGTAACCAGTGTGAGTACAATCAAGCTGTGGTAATGTGTCACTAATTCAAATAATAGTCAGGAAAAACCTTTGATGATTGAAGTGAAATAAAAATCTGGTTAGAAGTTGGGTCTGGTAGCTCACTTGGTAGAGCACCGAGTCGGAAACCCGGTGTTCACTGGTTTGAATCCGCTTGCGGCGCAAATTTCCATTTCACCTTCAATCATCATCGAGTATCAATACTGGTCTACCAAACGACGGATATCTCAGATAATCAGAATGAACGATCACTACACTCCTCAAAGTGGAGCTTAGGTTTAGCTTATTGCATACTTGACCGCCAACATGTGAGTCATCTACCAATGTGCACCGGGATGCTGAGCTTCCTAGCTTGGTTGCCACATTACAAATAAGATCGATAGACTTTGGTCTGCAATCAGGACTAGAAAACATGAAATTGGTTGCACTCCCGTGACCAATCAATACACGTGAGTCATTTGTTCAAACTCCGCCGTCTTTTGTGATTCTGGGAATAAAACACCATCTGCAACACCAACACAATAGGTATATCCCACAACTTGTCCTATTCGATTTTCTAAAGTAACACTTGATGTGTTATGAGTGCCATCAGATTCTATATCTGCAAGAATGTATTCAGCTTTCTGTAGGCACCAGTAAGTTTCAGTGAGTTAAGTTTAAAAGAACTACATACTGAAGTAAAATTTAATATCGTTTCCCCATTACTAAGCAGATTATAACGTTTGCTTAAGGCAGAAGTGAACTCAAATTTTAATTTGTCACTATTTCTGTTTGGATGATAAGATTGCACGATCGCCAACCTACGCGATTTACGGCATCACCATGATATCCGGTTGTCTACTAAGGGTTGAATGTATCGTAATACAGTTCACTCTGTTCTATTATCTGGGTGTAAAACACATCCATCAAAGGTACAGGATAGGAGAAAGCTTCAGATGTTCCAGCACTGTTACTTATGTAACATAAGCTGCATGTCTTGGTGTCATCACATCAGTAAAACAGAAGTTAGTTGGTGAAGCTGTGAACCTTCATCGACTTAGATGGCAGTGACATACGTTGCGCACCGAATAACTGTTTTTGGCTAGACCTGACTTAGTTTGGAATTCATCATGAAGTGACATCAGTTGGAGGGAAATTGGAAACCCGGGATCACTGGACAGCTGTTTCGCACTAGTATAGGACTCCTCAGCAGTGCGCAGCCATGACTTGGCCAGGGGTCGTACTCAGGACCTTCAGTTTCCCTACCCAGAACGTTACCATTGAGCCACTGGGTCCAAATCCAGTGATCCATATTTCTTACTTCTGTCAGTTCACGCGATCTATATCCAATGTCGTCGCTGAGTAACTGTCCTGATGTTCGACTTGGTTGACTCCACTGATCAGGATTTCTCATTGAGACTTCGGTAAACACCTCTCGAAGCTTGTTACCAATTAGTGGTAGATTGATTCAATCTGGGGATCTATGGAGATTTATTAATCGTGAGACTGACAAAAGTAGGGAATATGGATCATCGGATTCCCACCCTGTAGCTCAATGATGCGCTGGCCACGGGACCTGAAGGTCGTGGGTTCGATCCCTGGCCAGGTCATGGCTGCGCACTGCTGAGGAGTCCTATACTAGTGCGAAACAGCTGTCCAGTGCTCCCAGGTTTTCAATGGTTCCTCCAACTGTGTCAGTCCATGATGAATTATAACCTAAAATCAACTAATAAACCTTCACAAACTTCCAGATAGAGATAAACTCGAACTAGTTTTGCCAGCATTATTAATAACTACTTACTAGAAGCCTTTGTCTGGGATTCTTATATAAAGATAATTATCAAATTTTGAAGGGAGAGTACTCACAACCAGTAGTCCTATAAATTCCAGCTGTTTCTATTGATATAAGTATAAAGGTTGGAAACTAAGGTAGAATGTAATTCCACATTTGGTTTGTTTATTCGATTTATAACACAGTCAACAGGTGATTTTTATAGTCCTGTCACCTCTTATTCTCTGTGTAAGATTCTTAACAAGGCTGGAATTAGGGTAGCATTTGAACCTACAAACTCACTCAAAGATAAGCTTTATAGGCTTAAGGATCCTATAGATCCAAATGAACAAAATTTATTCTACCATATCCCATGCGATGACTGTGAGGTCAAGTACATAGGTCGAATCAACGATCGGGGTCCGTTAGATTATTGGAGCATAGCAGTTTAACCAAATTCAGAATAATAGACCCCAATAAGATCAATAATCTAGAGAATAAAAATTCGGCTATTGTCATGCATCCAATAACACAAAACCAGACAATAATGACAAGCAAATAAATCGCTTTTATGTAACGCTTAACAAACACAGTGAAGGATATACTTACAACTAACCTGAAATAGTTTTTTATGTTTTTGTAACATTATATGACGGGTTTTTGCTTGTTTTCTTTCAACACGTTGTTGCTTCTTTTCGTCTTCTAATTCTCTGATACGCTTACGTAGAGCATGTAAAGTATGTCTTAAAAATATTAATCCATTTGTCATCTCAGATGGGACAGTTTGATTTGCATAATAATGGATTTGGTCTAAGCGTAGAATTACAATAATTTCTAATTCATTTAATTTGCGCTGTTTTTCTAACTAAATAATAAAGTGAATAAAAAATGATGATAATATGAGATTTGGGCACAATGGTATAATTTAATTCCAAATTAAAATTGTTTATTAGATATATAGCACACAGTGAAATAGTATTATTTACTGGATGACGTTTCGAGCATAAATTATCACTGATCATAATCATATCCATGTAATCATACTACTTTTGACGTCTCATATTTATAGTCCTGTCACTTTCTATCATTTGTTTTCATTGGTAGTAAAAGTCTCCATGTCTCTTGTATATGTGTTGCTGATAGGTAGCGGCAAAAAGGCAGCCAATAGAGAAATTGTTTTCAGATCATGACAACCTGATTGGACAAGTTTTACGTCACACAACCAATCCGATTGGTTTATTTATAGCTTGGTTTTCTGAGGATTTTGTAAATATATATACACCATGTATTTGTGTAGTAAAGTTGTTGTTCTTACAGTCACAAGCCAGTCTTTTGTATTCTGACTTCTCCGTGGCTCAGTGAAGCACAGGAAGCTGAGGGAAGTCAGTCGTTGAGGTGTCTGTCAAGTATGAATATCATCATACCCACGCATGTAATTCCGTTTGGTCACAAAAGTTGTGTCATTTCTATGACATGTGTTGGGTATTGATTCAATGAACAATGATTCATTCAGTAATCAATCTCTCCTTCTGTCCACCTAATTATATTGGACTTAAGTACAGTGGTTTTATCCCACCCTATTTCTTAATAATCTATAGAGGATAATTATGAACTATTAGCGCTTTCCGATGTGTTCCAGTTCTTTGTTTTGGTCTTTGCACTGACTAGCCAGTTTTCCAGCTTTATCATTTAGACGTTTGACTAAACCTGCCTTAACTAACATTGAATGACTTGAAGTCTAGGTACCTGTTAGACATGAGTACGACTAATAACGGTAAGACGAGTAGAAAGTTCACAGCCTCTATTGTGTCACCCTACAAGGAAGGTACATCAGAAACCTTACGTAGAATTCTCAACAAGGCTGGAATTAGGGTACGATTTAAACCTACAAACTCGCTCAGAAATAAGCTTTTTCAGCTGCCTTAAGGATCCGATAGAACCAATTAAGCAAAATAATACAATCTATCAAATTCCATGTAATGACTGTGTGGTCAAGTACGTAGGTCAGACTAGTCAGTCGACGTCAATTAGAATAGCTGAACATAGGAATTTAGCTAAATATAGAATGACAGACCCCAGTAAGATCAACAATCAAGAAAACCACTCAGCTACTGCAATGCATGCATTAACAAACAATCATACAATATACTTAGGGAGAGAGAGAGATCGGTTACTGAATGAACTTTCGTTCATAGAATTAACACCCAGTATATGTAATAGAAATGATACAATACGTATACCAGAGAAATGGAAAATTTTACTACCAATAAAAACAAAGAATAGGTGGTGACATAACTATGAATACCAGGTATTGAAAGTAGTATGATTACACTGATATGATTATGAGCAATGATAATCAAGTAAATAATACTGTATTACTATGTACTATATCGTCAAATAAACTAAGTTACTATGGAAACAACAATAATTTATGCAATACTGATAAATAAACTGTATTATTTAATAGAGTATCAAGGAAGTGATAAAAAACAGTCTTTAGAACTCCCTATTACTAATTGTAAACCCTGTTCTGAGAATCCAATCAAAGTATTATTTACTTTGATAATATAAAAATGAATTTGGGCAATACATTTAAAACATTTTGATCACATATTTACTTGTCAAGTCAATTTGTATAGAACCGAAGAAAAGCACGATAAATATAATATATATAAAAATAATATATATAATATAATAGGAGACTAAGATGAGGTGGGATGAGGACAGAAAAAGAAGAATGATATAGTTGATCCTAATCTTAGCAAAAGAATTTTACCAAGGTAGGTGTAGGGTTGGAACAAACTGCTTTTGTACATCAGATAGAATGGACGCAGGAATACTTGATGAAACCATAAGTAGGTGTACTATAAGACCTATTCAACTCTTATTTCTAACATATTCTTCATTGTATCCTTAGTGGATCGTACATGTCACATCGGATTTAGATTTTCCTTTCAAATTAATATTGTAATCTTGAGAAGTTTCATGCTCACACGAAGATGCAAATCTGCATAACTCAAAGTTGAAGTCAATGACTTAACTACTAAGCTGCTGAGGTTGTAACACATTCGAAATCTTACTCATTCACCTCCCAGTTTCAATTCCTAGACTACCCACCTATTCGTTGTCCAGCTCTACCATTCGTCAGCTATCTTTTATTATTAAATGTAAGTACAACATGTGTTCTTGCTGAGTCGTCGGCTCACTTTTTTCTCTTCCTCTTTTCCCTTGTAGATTCTTGTAGCCACCACTAAACTCACACTGCTGTGCGCGCTTCCTGCAACAACTTACCTACCTGCCTACCTACCTATAGGCTGGACAAGAATGTATCAACAGTTGGTTGTTACAAGGTCATCATTTGATAGCCTTTTAGATTTATGTAGGTAAAGAAATTGGTAACTGGACGGTAACTGATGTGGCTGTCAAGTCTTTAGCGCTCATCAATGATTCACGTTTACTGATCAATTTTACCCCATGGTCATTAGGATAGGTGATGTAACACTGCAGTGCACTGTTTTACGGTGTTAGATAATTGACTGATGTAGGTCAGTGACGAACACCTTCGCTGCGTCAGCTGCATTATTTAGCAACCAATGAATGATTGGAGTGCAATCTAGTGTGTATTCATGTCAGCATATGAAGCCAAAAAGGAGATTGTTTCGTAACAGGATTCTGCAGAGAATCTACTTTACCTCATCAACTTTGATCTTGTCTTTTCGTGTATTGTCGCAAACCTTCACATATTAATCGTGATTCATCATTGTCAAGTATATGAATGTTAACAGATTGTTGATTTAAATTCTGCTAAACCTGTGCTATTTCAAACAGTCTAACAAGGAATTATTGCATTCTGTTTGATTTTAAAACATCCCACTTCAAGAATATAATTTTGAAAACAGGTAGAAGAATATACCACCTCAGTGTGAATAATATGAATTAACTAAATATTCAGATCTTAACTAAGCAATTTACATTCACATTGTATGCCTATTAACATATGTTACAGCGAATTTCAGTAAAATATAAGCTGAACAATACGTTCGACAAAGCAAACGGTATACGCACTATACCTTTATTCCAACGAAAATGTGTAATACAGCATGGAAATCTTAGCATGCAATATTTCAACACGATCGCTTCCTGTAAAATATTTTTAAATGAAATAATTATTGCATCTGAAAAGTCTTAATAACAGCAGGATAAAAGGCAATAATGTGAAACAGGTAGCTGGTGTTACATAAGCATTTGATCTGGATTGGTGGATAGATGGAAAATAGAGCGTAATTTTGTGATAGTAGTTCAATGAGTCTATCAGTACAAAGTATGCAATTTGATATAAATAACCTAGGAGTAGTAATGTGCTGTATTTGTTGGCACTTCTAAGTCCATTTCCATCAGGTATAACCATTTTTTCTTTGTTTTATTGTTGGCTTGAGAAACGGCAATACGAAAGTACTTTAAAAATGCGCGGAATTGAATGATACGTTTAGAAAACATGTTCAAAAGATTAAAACAAATTGGAAGGGGAGAATTTCATGAAATATATTCACTGAAAAATTTCTGGCAGCCGAAGATTTCAGCAAGTCTAAGACCTGTTCTACTTCACACAAACATTATGGACAGATTACATATTACATATAAGTAGTATACGTCGCAACATTTGGAAATGTAAAAAGTAACAACAATTGACTGCTAAAGACTCTGCAAGAAAATGAACAAACGAACGCCATTTTTGGGTACTTATTTCAAGAACAAGAAAATAGATTTACAATGATGACAGTAAGACATGTTGGAATGCTCAACAAAGAATGTTGTTTTTCGAATCGTCTTTTCATTGTAAATTTCAATATTTTTATACCTACCGATTTTGACTGTTATATTCCGAAATACTGAAGCCATTTATGACCTTCATGTAGTACATTCACTATTCATGGTTAGGCTTGAGTAGTTAGTAGCATGTAAAGTTTATCAACATGTACAAATTGAACTAGTTAGGACATGCATTTCTTTATACTGAGTAACGCAATATTTTTTCTTGTCTTACCATTGAAAAGTCTGGCTAACTGTTAGATGTTCACATGTGCGAAACATTGATTAGACACGAATTTATACATTAACCTATCTGATTCACATGTTTTTGATTAGACATGAGGATGATACATCAGCGTTAAGTTTGAACCTCTAATAAAGGGGTTGAGAAGTGAGTTTAGAAATCATCGGATCGCAAATTCAATCGAATACCTTCGTTAACTGTCACAATTGTTAAAAAGTTTCATTAAGCTACTGTTGGAAAGCAGTGATAAACGCTGTGCCATATGAAAAAGATGATGTTGAGAATGAACTATTCTCTCATACAAGCATAATTCCCATATTCTGCAGACTGTTCTTTAACCTTCTGGTGGACCTGTTCTACCAGTCATTACATCTGACTTCCAGCCAGTAAGTCACGGAAGAGAACCCAATCCGACTTACTATAGGTTAGGCAGACAGACAGAATGATCACCCCTCAAAGCCGGTCACAGAAGTTACAGAGTGGTAAAATTTAGTTCTACAAACCCGAAGAGAAACTGAGGATCATTTATAAGTAGAACGAAGTCATAATAACTTTCGAAGTATACTACTAATAAACAAATTAAGTAGCCAGAAATATCTCGGGTCGATCTGCAGATTTTGCCATCTAGATCAGTATGATCAAATCACCGGTCAGCCGTTTCGCTCGTTTAGGGTCGAGTTCATCAGCGGTGTACCCGAACGAATTCAGCTCACTGAGCCGAGTTAGTTCAGATCACTTGAATTTGGATAGCTGAACTGCATGAACCGAGCTTACCTAAAGTAGAATGATCAATTTGCAGATGATTAGTGATT